ATGTTGCGGAGTCACTGTACAACCATAATTCATGTGATCCAAGCCGATTTTGGTCGCCTAAAGCCATCCGCCCTATCGTCATCCGCGAGAAGAACTACTCGACCCCCTGCGGATAATTTATGGGGTGCAACCCTAGTCGAAGGCTTGTTCAATTTTTAAACGCTCCTCACCAAGATTTATACATGTACAATTTCAGGGAACGTTCAGGCTTTGATTTTTCAGCTGATACGAAACAGCGTGGATAGGAGGGACCGTTGAAAGGATGGCTGAGATAGGACATCCAGTAGCCATGAATACTGAACGTCTTTTTTGGGGGAAATCATTTTATTTCGATAGAGCGTGAAAGATGTATGGATACGGTTAGGATTCGATGATTGGATCTATTACGGGAATTAGTGGTAGTTTTTTTATAGGACTGGAAAAAGTTAATTACAAATCTGAAACTATTTTAAATCGACTGGCTGACTAATAAATTAATCGAGGAAACTAAATGAATTGATTAATAAATAAAGGCGCTCGATTGAATTATGATCCATATCGCGTTACAAAATTCAGAGAGGTTCTTGCGAGAGGCCTGGCACCTAAAATATCGTGTAATCGTTGGGAGGGAATTCTAGAAGGGAGCCAGTTTAATATACTGTGTCTTCTGCGTGCTCAAAATGGAAATTTATTCTCATTCTAACGATGCCGCGTGGGAGGAAATATTGTTCATCGTTTCGAAGCATTATGTATCGTTAAAGGTGAACGCTTATTTTTCAAAACGCACTTGCCTGCGCGGCGAGAAAAAAATAAGATGGTTCAGAATGAATTTCTTCTAATAAATTTACATCTTACGATGTTATGTACCGTGACCGTCATACGTGTCTTTCTTTTTCCACAAAGACCGGAACAGTTTACCCTCCATTTTTCGCAGAACCTTCATCACGAGCTTACTCCGTATCTCCTATTCTCTGAACAAGCAATCTCCTCTATGGACTTATCTTGCTAATAGCTCATCAAAATTACATTGTACGGAAATCATCGCTTTGCGTGAAGGAAATCCAAATAAGGGAAAGGCCCTGCGTGTACATAAATATTTCATCAACTCGCATTAAGTCGCCTTGACCACGCACGAACGAAACTCGAATAAATCAACGTCCATGTCGCATCGAAATAGAGTATTGAGCTAACGACGACTTGCTTTTGTAAATTGAGAAATGGTTAAGGGGGGAAAGAAGATCTGTGTTCTCCACGCAGGACGAAATCGTTTGTGCTTATACCACTGTTACGAAATTCAAAAATGATTTATGAACCGACCTGATGTCGTTCCTCGAAAACATCGAACCACACTTTCTGGAAGCTGTCTTTAAATGAGACTCCGTGCCCTGGAAATAACTTTCGAAGTGATCTCGCTTGGTCGTAGCAATGGTTACAAGTTGATTTGTAATAGATATACACAACTCATGCATATTCAATGTGCTATCATGAGAGAAAATAATAATGAATTAGTAGTTATAAGTCTAAACTACATATAGACGAATTGTGTAAAAAAACAAATGGATGGTAACTGTGTTTGCTCGAGCAATATTCGTAGCCATCGCTAATGGTATTTACCAACCGCTTTTCGACCTAACTACGACGTCAGCCTATAAAACGCCGCCTTATATCTTTATTACCCCGTCTAAGGAACCTCTGCTACGCGGTAGCTCACGTTCGGCAGTTCGTGTGGATATTTCGGCAATTTATATAGAAACTGGGGAAGTGTGGAAAGAGGGAAGGAGTCGCGTCTACACGATTGAGTGGTTCGTTCATAGCCAAGGTAATGCCTTTATTTATAGCTATTACGATAAACTATGAAACGAGTCGTATAGCTTGCACGGTCCCTTTGAACGATTATTAATATTAAACATGAAACGATCGAGTAATGGTAGTTCAAATACTAATAAAAGTAATACTCATTTTTCGTAAAATGGTTACTTCCATTTCTTATCTTTCATAACACATATCTATTCCACGATACACTGGCTGGCTTCCGAGATGTGAATTCTTGGTTTTTTTTAAGAGAAAACAAAAAGTAGATACGTACATAGCGATAGTCCTCTCCGGTGTACTATAACAAGCTATTGAGTTTCATTCAGTAAAAAGATCTCGTTAAAAGAATTGTAAAGAGAGTTCCTGGAAGGGGGCGAACACCTTGCACGTGGGAGTCTATTACAGCGAAGCCACCCCTTTGCAATTGCCACGTTCACCGGACCACGGATAGTCGATGCCGATAAAAAGCGTGCCTCCACGCCGCCGCCGGAAGGAAGATCGTCCGTGAACGCTTTCATTGGACGAAATTGTGGTCATTGTCGTGAGCATTAACCTGATTTCGTTCGCTGTCATCGGCCAGACAAGGGAGATCCGAACGAGAGAGACGTTGGTACAAAAGGACTACATGGCTCGTCAATACGACCGTAAAGTAATAAATAAAAAAAGGAGCGAGCTCTTTGACCAAGTGACTCGGCGGAATCAACTGGCTAGATCTACGCAATCGATACCTCCGACGTATATCTCTGTCGAATGAAAGGCGTAAAAAGACGAATCGAATGGCGGCTGGAAAAGAGGAGAGAAGATGAAAAAAGGGATATAGAGAGAAAAGAGTGGGCTCTACTATATGTGAAGGAATCCTGCGAAATTGGGGCTATTGAGCACAGTACAGGCAGCTCGCACGCTTCTGACGGGTGGCCGCACCAAAAGGCTCGTCCAGGAATACCCAACCCTTTATCGTTATTGCACGTTCACCAGCATGGGGTGACTATGGCAGCCCGCTGAAAGGGCTCGCCGGTGAATTAACCGCGTGTTTCCTGGCCGTTCGTCATTTTTAGTGGTTGGTCCTCGCTCGCTCGGGTATTAAATTATATTTCACGTGATGATTAACGGTCCTAGGATATATTATTAAACTGTAAGACCTCGCGCGACGTGGAATCCTTGCAGGACAAGATGGCTCAACCCCCTGCGCTTCTCTTTATCGTCTTCTTTTGCCCGGATATTCCCTCTTACACGATCACCCTTCTTGCCCGCGCTTCCGCCTTTCCTCGAGATACCGTTTTTATTACTCTTGAACGCGTCTGTGAAATTACCCAAAAAAGTAAGGAAAAGCCAACGGATCGTACAAGTGGAAAATATAATGATAGAAATTGATGGCTTTACAGAAAGTTTTGTTATTAATTTAATTGTATATTTTCCGGTTGTTTGCGTTCAGCTTTTAACTAAGTAGAATCTCCACTTATCATTTAAACCGAAAGTATGTCGGACGAAACACAGCCCTGGGATAAATTAAACGAAATTTTGCTCGTTAAAGACCGAGCTTGAAAGCAGAAACGTATTGTACATAAGTGCATACCTGGTCTCTTTGAATTATTTCACACAGTCACGATCTCATTCATTTATTTTCTAAGTAATACGTACGATTATAAATTTACATATTCCCGAAACATCGGTTCAAATCAAAGACGCTTATGAATAATTAGAAACTCATACCGTCTGCCTTAATTGCATTTGAATAGGAAAAGTGATCCTTAAAGAATTTATGTTCATACATAAAATCGTCCTCCATTCTTTGAAACATCGTCGTAATGTTTTTTAATTTCCTTATTATTAAGTATGATGAGATTAAAGTGAAATCATAGGACGGAATCCGCTGTAGTATTTTCTTGGCGAAACGACCACGTAGCTCTCAGTAATTTCACCAGGGAACCTTCCATGGTTGCCTGCCACTGACAACTTACATAGAATTACGCTCACAGGAAATACGGGGTTCACACAGAACTCCGCCGTTGACAATTTACACTTGTCCGAGCTATTGACGGGAAAAATGTTACGTCTCGCGACATTTCCACCGGAAAAATTTGGTACTCTAACTAGACTGGACACGTGTATGTACACGAGGATGACAGAAGGTAAATGTTAGTTTTCGAAATTGTATAAAGATTAAGTTTATTCTATTTTCAATAGCCATCGCTGATCGTCCTTGCAAATAGAATCATTGAGAGCACAAAAAATATAGAAATAGAGCTTCAAAACTTTTGAATAGTGTAGTAAGGGACACATAATACGATGCATTTCCTATATGTATGCAGGTAGCCCTCCTATAACGCGGCATCCTATGACCGCCTATGACACGGTTTCGTTTTAACACGATAGGATAAATTGCGGGAAGCCTCGTATAGCACTGCAACCTATAACACAGTTTCGGTCTAACACGATAAGAAAATTGCGAAAAACTTTGCACAACACTTTTTCTTTGGGTTACTGCTGATTACCATAAGAGTACATGCAAATTTTAAGTCACTATAATTTTTCAAAAAACCCATGAGTTGATTTAAAATTTTGCAGGTAGCTTTTTAATAGTAATAGGAATCTATTATAACAAATTCCTTAAGCGGTTGGTCAGTGGTCGACAATCTGCGTCGAGTCACGGTTTATTAAAGAGTGACTAAAAAGCTCTGTTTTTAATAGGTTTTTGGAACGTAATTCCCCTTTTTGTACTGGCTCTGGGTTTCATATAAAATGGTTTCACACAACATGGCATTTTCGAGGAACCTATCAACCGTGTTATAGGAGGATTACCTGTATATTGATTGAAAAAGGAGAAATTCATTTCTAACAGTCGTGTTATACAAGCAAACTGTGTAATTCAGTGGACTGTTACAGAGTTATTAACATTAAAGTTTAAGTATGAGAATAGTGAATTACAAGATTTATGGCAATTGCTCACAAGTTCTGAAGACGAATGCAAGTTAAGGGCTGGTTTGAAGGTTCACGAGAGTAATTCTATTTCGGGCGGCGAAACAGACGAGGCAAGTTTTGATCGTGCGCTAGGCAATTATACGTACAGGAATGTGTGGCAGACATGTATTTGCTACGCGTACGGCTACACTGATTACACTGTTTCCCATTCTTAGCCATCATGATTCCAGCAAATAATTTATAACTTAGAAGAGGTCGTAAGCGCAATCGTTACTAATGACACTGCGAGACTAATACAGGTGTAACAGATATGTTCTACCATTTGAGATATGGTAAAATTTTTTATGCCCCGGATTCAGCGATTCCGCAAAAAAAAGCAATTCCAGGGAGCCCTATAGATACAAAAGTGAGCAAAAATGATTGCAAGGAAGGAACAGGAATACTCGAACACTGCTTGTAAAATGAAAAACCACTGAAAAATGAGAAGTATTATTTTTTTTTCAGTGGGAACGTATTGCATTTATAGGGTTACACTTGTGTTTTAAATGTGCGATTGATGGAACGTCGAGGATTTCCCGATGGAAAGTAGGCGCCGAAAAGGTTTTCACTGTTGCGGGGCAAGTTTTACCGCAGAGTTCCGCGCGAAACCGCCGGAACAGAATTACGAGATGGATAGAAAGACGCGAGAATCGATTAATGGCTGAACTGCCAATGTGGTTTTACGACAAGTAATCGATACGGTTCTTTTATTAAATCGACACGAAAGGCAAAGGAATTTACCGAACGTAAAATTTGAAACGTTCGCGTAATAATTACATCGGCCTTCGTAAATTATTCATTCCTTCAAAGAATTTAGTGAACTAATTAAAGTCTCGCATACGTTATCGTTGAACCGACGATCTCTTTATAGTTATAGAAAATTTAAGACTGGAAATAGTACAAAATGAATATAAATACATTTCTATAAAGGAATCAGTATTGATTAATCACATTTGCTATTACAAAATGTAAGTTTTCAAGAACCAAATAAGACAATAGGCTTTTTTAATACTTGGTATATACAACAACTTGAACGCACTGCCATTTCAAAAGCGATTTCCAAAGTGATCTCCTTCGGTCAGGGTACCTTGAAGGAGTTCAATGACAACACATGCTTAACTTGGGAACACATTGTCACAGCCTCACTGTCAGTATAAAGTTTTGCTAGTGAATACGTATAACCTAAACTAGCCGAAATGCTAAAAGAATATCTCTTAAAGAATCATCAATTGGACTTAGAAGATATTTTGAACAACCCGGATGTCAGCTGTTTCTACTCGATCTATGTAAAGTGAGTAATTTTCAACTGTTGTTCTTTGTACAATACAAAGAAGAATTATTTTACAGCTTCGTGTTATTATTCAAAGACGAAACCGATGTGGCACAAAAAGTTTTAAAGTATCCTAGATATTATTTACCATTATGCGACGAAGCCGTAGTAGCCGCACAGGAACAAATAGCGGAACCACCGCAAATCGTAAAGAAAAAAGTAAAGATCGTATTAAAGCGTTAGCACTTGCTTTCTAATACAATTTGTGATTTGTTTATATCTTTATTTAAAAAATATGTCGCATAGGTCCGTGTTAGAGTCACAGGTATACCGGTTATATTGGATGAGATACAAATTGGACAGCTTGTTTCAACAAGTGGCATCATAGTTAGAATTTCTCAACCGACATTATTGAAATCTATCCAAAGATACTGTTGTTCGAAGTGTAAACATGTTATGCTGGTTAAAGTTGGTTGAACGCATTTTACTATAATACCTCGTAATTTTTTATTAGCTGTTAAACTGTATGATATCCGATTTTTAGTATGAATGGGAAAGACAGGATTATGCAAATATTTCGGAATGTGAAAAATGTCACGCGCCAAAATTGAAGGTCCTATCCGGTTTTGATATCGAAGATTCCTCGGATTGTCAGGAAATAGGATTACAAGTATATTAATATAATAATTTAATGACATCAGTATTGATAATTCTTTTAACACCATTAATTACACCACTAAATCGATTAGGAAGAAGGTAAATCAGATACAAATAAATCCTTGACCGAGGAATTGAAAGTCATTTTGCTGGACGATTTAGTTGATAAATGTAGGCCAGGAGACCATGTAGAAATCAGGTGACAATTAATTACGTGCTACACGCATAGTATAATGAATAGTATTAAATAATATTAAAGAACCATATATCAGCCGCTATTCATTTCTAGTGGTGTCGTGATAAGAATTTGGGATTCTTTAGAAGTCGGTGAACGTTTGCAGGCAATCACTAAAATGTTAGCAAATAGCGTTGTAGTACGACGTAAGGTATCCGATACTTCTTCTTCGCAAGAGTTAAAAGATACCTTCACAAGTTATTGGGAATCATATAACGATAATCCCCTACTCGGTAGAGACAATATTCTCGCCTCTATTTGTCCGCAGGTATAAATTTAAAAGTAATACACGTTTTAATAAAGAAATCTCATTCAAAACTGCGCGTATATTACTATAAATGAATTTCATAAAAATTTCAAGCTTTATGGAATGTACACTGCAAAGTTAGCGTTAGCTATTGTACTAGCTGGTGGTGTGCCGAAGTGCAACGAAAGCGGTAATTATCCTTATCATCTTGCTCTTATTGTTATTTTCACATAAAATGCAATCATGTTAAATGAAATAAGGTACACGAGTACGCGGAGAACCTCATCTTCTTTTGGTCGGTGATCCTGGGACTGGAAAATCTCAGTTGCTTCGTACAGCGGCCCGTTTGGCCATAAGATCAGTTCGTACGACCGGCGTAGGATCGACTGCAGCTGGACTCACAGCAAGTGCTGTCAAAGTTAGTAATATCTTGCGTGCCTAATAAAGCTTCTCGATCAATTTCGTAAATCTCAATGAATACATCTTTTATTAAAATTCATTAAATACGAGCGAGACATAAATCAGTCGGTGAGGAAGTAACAAAATCATTAACAGTTAAAAAAGACGGAAATTACATTCTTCTTNACGTGCTACACGCATAGTATAATGAATAGTATTAAATAATATTAAAGAACCATATATCAGCCGCTATTCATTTCTAGTGGTGTCGTGATAAGAATTTGGGATTCTTTAGAAGTCGGTGAACGTTTGCAGGCAATCACTAAAATGTTAGCAAATAGCGTTGTAGTACGACGTAAGGTATCCGATACTTCTTCTTCGCAAGAGTTAAAAGATACCTTCACAAGTTATTGGGAATCATATAACGATAATCCCCTACTCGGTAGAGACAATATTCTCGCCTCTATTTGTCCGCAGGTATAAATTTAAAAGTAATACACGTTTTAATAAAGAAATCTCATTCAAAACTGCGCGTATATTACTATAAATGAATTTCATAAAAATTTCAAGCTTTATGGAATGTACACTGCAAAGTTAGCGTTAGCTATTGTACTAGCTGGTGGTGTGCCGAAGTGCAACGAAAGCGGTAATTATCCTTATCATCTTGCTCTTATTGTTATTTTCACATAAAATGCAATCATGTTAAATGAAATAAGGTACACGAGTACGCGGAGAACCTCATCTTCTTTTGGTCGGTGATCCTGGGACTGGAAAATCTCAGTTGCTTCGTACAGCGGCCCGTTTGGCCATAAGATCAGTTCGTACGACCGGCGTAGGATCGACTGCAGCTGGACTCACAGCAAGTGCTGTCAAAGTTAGTAATATCTTGCGTGCCTAATAAAGCTTCTCGATCAATTTCGTAAATCTCAATGAATACATCTTTTATTAAAATTCATTAAATACGAGCGAGACATAAATCAGTCGGTGAGGAAGTAACAAAATCATGTTAAAAAAGACGAAAATTACATTCTTCTTTGCGTATTTTCATTCACAACGATGTTCAGTAAAGAGACAGATAGAATTGCAAAATAACTTGATGTTCGATGGGCAAATAGCTTCCTCATGCAACGAATGCTCTTTGTAGGACTCATTTGGTTGGCACCTAGAAGCTGGAGCCTTGGTCTTAGCTGATGGAGGCGTCTGTTGCGTGGACGAGTTCACAACCATGAGCGCGCACGATAGAACATCCGTTCACGAAGCCATGGAACAACAAACGATATCAGTCGCCAAAGCAGGATTAGTTAGCACGTTAAATTCCAGATGTTCAGTGATCGCGGCTATTAACCCACACGGTGGCCAATTCACGGAGGACAAAGAGTGGGAGACTAATCTCGGAGATCCTCTGCTATCTCGTTTCGATTTAATTTTGCTCCTAAAGGATAATAGAAATCCAGAATGGGATAGGATGACTTCGGAGCATATTCTGAGAGCCGCTTATGAGAAAAAGGAGAACAGCGTTCGATCGTAATACGAATAATATAAGTTAATTCCTTTGACAAGTTGCAAATTTCTGTATCGAATGATTTTTGGTGTCACAGAGACCCGAAAAATCCCTTAGAACTTTTAAGAACAGAAGGATTATGGAAGGAAGACACGTTACGTGAATACTTAGCACACGTGCATTCTCTGGAGCCGAAGTTAACGAAGGAGGCGGAAATGGTACTTCGTGCGACTTATCTTTATCATAGATCTCATCCAGATAGAAGAGAAGAGAGAACCACAGTTCGACTGTTGGACAGTCTTATGAGGTAGCGCACAAAACATTCTGAATTTTTTTAAGACATTCGTCGTATAACTGTTCTTTTTAGGCTGGCTGAAGGTCATGCTAAGTTGATGTATAAAGCGGATATAGAAATTATGGATGCTATATTCGTGGCACAATTAATTGGGACGGGATCTAAGTCAGAGAGTAATCTCGGTAATTCGTTTCCCTTAGATCCAATAGCAACATATCGATCAGAGGGTACAATTACGTATTTTTCTTATAAAAGTCGAAAATTATCTTATCTAACCGCGGATTAAATTTGATGAATTTATGATATTGAAATTCTAGGTAAAGCGTTGTTGAGAACGATTGATTTGCAACGTTTGGAGAATTTACTATAAGCATTTTTATTAATTTGAGATCATGTCTCTTGTAATTATTACAATAAGAAAAATCTAGCTGTAAGTAAACAAAATGTTTATTTGTCACTTTTCCTTTTGCTGCTTACACAAGTATAAATGTATCAGCGCGTATTTATAAAATTTAAATAACATTTCTGTCTTTCCTTTTACACAAAATAATGTATTCTATTGTTCATTTCTATGTAATAATGGTGTGTAATAATTATTATAATTAATTTAAAGTGTCGTGTACGTAAAAATACATTTAGAACGTATGATTTGTTTAATTAAAGTCTCAATAAATAACAAAGGGCCTTCGACCTCTCATTTTCCTATATTCCCGAACATTTTACTTGACATAAATTTTCCAGTTCATTGAGACGTTTAGATATACCCAAGAAAGTAACGGCAACGATATAACCCAATTTTGGTACTCTATAAATAATTTATCGGTAATTAATAAATAATTAAAAATACGTAAGATTCATCTGTTTTCTTTTTCAACGTATTCCTTAGATGTATGTATATATAATATATATAGTTTAGACTTTACAAATTCATAGAATATTTTATGGATCTAAATAACAATTACTTAATAAAGAAAGGCCATATATTACACGTTGCAAGGAATGTATAAGACGTAATTAGGATAGATAAAAAGATGCCTGATTTACATATAATTCATGATTAACTTCACATGAAACAACGGTTAAGGAATTGAACTCTAAACTCGTAGACATACAACATAACTGTGAGTGTGTACTAGTAAAATTATTTTGATTTTCGGCAAACTGAATAATCTCCCGTTTTATATGAAGCCGTGCATGATTAGATCATGATCGAAGTCGCTACTAAAATACAAAAGCTAGCAAATGTATTGATGCATATAGAAGCAATACAGTACGAATTAGTGATATGATTATTACCCATATCTTGTTTTTCCACTAGATGATAAATTATTTTGACTCATTTTCAATCGATTCAAATGAAAAATGATATACATACAGATCATGCGTCAGACAATAATACGGAGACACGCAATACTGTGTTAATAAATTTCGAATACTATTAAAGGAGAAAAGGAGATGCAAAATGATAAAGCATTAAATAAATGTTAGATCACCGAGAATATTGAAATCCGACTTTCACCAAAAGTCAAAGGAACAATTTTTTCGACGACGAAATATGTACGAATGATAACTGATAACGCACCATGGGTTAGAAATGACTCTACACGTAGATAGATATAACTTCAATGCAAGAATAGAGTTTCTATGGAACATTATAATTCACGTGACGCATGTTAGTTGCATCGAAACCAAGACGATATATCGGCTTACTGAACGGTAAAACGTCAGAATACCTGAAGAGTAAGTCTTGGACACTAGCGATTCGCATTAATAGCGTGGTTGGTTAGCAGCATTGGCCATTTGGGCGCGGACAGCAGTGGCAGCGACGTTACTCGCCGCATGTTGCACGTGTTCATTGCGTAAGAAAGTTGTTGCAAATTCCTGTTGTGCTTTCGTAACGCTCGCATCCGATGAACGATAAATGCGATGGATCTGTAAAAATTTCCTTATTCACTCGGTACCCTCTCATCGCATGTACAATACACTCGGCTATACGACTGGGACATCTTTCCGGAATGAATGAAAAACATTCTTATTTAATTTCGCATGGTACCTTAGTTAATAGTAGGAGATCACCGCACGCGGCAAGGACGAAACAAATTGCAATAACAAGCAATATAAGGCCAACGAATACTCCTTTAGCTGATGAGTCAAACATCGTGATAGCTGTTATGAGACCGCTATAATCATAGGAAGTCGATAAAATAAAAATTGCTATCACAATATGTATGTAATATATAAGTTTCCCGTTCCGAATAAAAAATCTTACCAAGTTCCCGATCCAGGGATACCTATTGCCTGAATAGCTGTCACGATTAATTGAAAGAAAAAGACGAAAAAAAATACCATGAAGTTAAAAGAGCTATCGTTCCTAAAAAAAAAAAGGAAGTTTTTTTAGTAATTGTATACTGACAAATATTAGAACATTGATGTATGATCAAATACGCACTTGAAAGCCTTGTATGCTGGTCTAAACCAACATAGAAATGAGAATGGTGTGAAAAGTATGAGATATAATACTCCAAGACCGAACGTCGAAAATCCTTCGTTAGACACAATTAGTATGAATCCACCAAGAACATTTAGGATTAAGACACAGCCGTGAACTGCAATTTAAAATTGTTATTTCATATAAAGTTATTCAGCTGCTTATCTTTTCAATTGAAAACAGTTGTAATAGTTAAACTTACACATCCATAGCCGATACAATTGCCTGACTACTTTTTGAAAATCAGTATGAATTTCCACATCAATGTCCTGGTGGAAACAGGGTTGGAAGCAACATTTCTCAGGTAAGGGTGGCCAGTTATTTCTCCTTGCTTGAAGAAGTAAAGGTTTTTAGTTATCCTATAGCCATAAAAAATACTACATATTTGTTCTTTTCATTGAACTTACGATAATATGCTGTATTCCTCATGTCTTCTTCTGTTCTCGCCTTCCATTCTGGTTCTGATCTTTGCTAAATTTTAATAATTTAAAGGGCAAAACCACAGCAGATATTATATGTAGCAAAACAGTTTAAAACACGAAAATTGATTTCTTATTTACATCTGAGGTAGGAGACAATGTGGGTCCAAGTGATGTATTCACTGTCTGCTGTGGGGTGCGGGCATAGTTAGCTGCAGGAGGATCCTGACTCGAAGGCTGAAGCGTAGCAGGTTGCTGTGTTGCTCCTAGTCCACCATAAATAGGTGGATTGGTAGCACCTCTGACTTGCGCTGTGCCTTGTGAACCTTGTTCAGCGAAGGGATTGTAGTCCTCTAGACCTCTGTTAGCAGGAGTAGAGGATACAGCTCTCCTGATTGCAGGATCCTAATTTTAAAGAAAATATAATTCAATTGTCATCTTATGCAACAATCATAAAGAAGTACATATAATAGGTATCTAAGCATAAAGTCAACAATTCAAAATATTTGTTAGTTATAGTAAAAAGTAATGAATAATAATAGTAACACATCCAAATAGCCTTCCTAGAAAAAATACAAAGCATACGTAGATATATATATCAGGTAACTACTCAGGTAATACGCATCAAAGGACAGCAGAAGTCTGCGCCTAAGTTCTCGAAGAGGAATAATAATGGTTAAATAACAGAGATTCATTTGTATTTAATATTTTTGTGCAATATTGTATGAAACGATGCATGTCTTACGTCTCTAGCCGCTATTAGAATACTTACCGCAAACGGATCGTTAGTATTCGGTTCTCCGAAAGGATTCTCATCGAAGCCAGACATCTTAATTGCCGCCTGCACGATCCGTATTCCAATGGACAAATTAATAAGACTTTAACACACTCAGAATAATCTTATCTAAACCTGTCTATACTTGATGATCCATTGCGCTGCGGTTACCTACAGTATAACCGGCAACCCAACCTTACAGCTCGTCACACGTACGTAAATTAACTGCTGCCACGTCTATTTCTATAGTCCTTACCCGTTATATATAAGTAATAAGGGTCTCTTCACAAAACTAAATCTATTCTTTTGTGAGACATTTAGGATACCTTTATAAGTACTTATAAGGAAATATCGAGAGATTTTGGTACAAATTTGTAGACTTGAAAAAGCAGTCTAGAATATTAGAAATGTATTTCTTTTACCTGGAACAAAGATTCCCTGTTTGGAATAAACTAAATTACAAACCGCATATTCTAAAGTGCAACCCTTACAAAATCATTGAAAAAACGGCTAAGGATAGAAAAATGTATTAAAAAGAATGGCATAATTTCAGGTGCTGATAAAAAATACTAAAGTTAACAGACATTTTCAAAATCGTTTGAAAACAGTAATAAATCCATTATTTGAAAAATTGCTGTAATGTATATGATAAAATATTTTTTATTACTAGAACAGATACAGTGAATCCCAGAATCATTAGTATATGGATGTTTTCTTTTTTTAAATATGTTCATAAGCATTTTGTTAAACATTCCTGCCGCTACGGCTATCCTTTCATTTACACCCTCGTCAAAGTAATGAAAGACAATTGCATATGTACACTTGTGAATAGGATGTATAAATTCAAAAATCTTTGAAATCGAATGTAATACACATTAGAGATTGAATGAAGCAGAAAGAATCTAGTAGGACCTATTAAATACGTAATAGAATTGACGCAGGCGCAATCAATGTGATAGAATGATAGATAACGTAGCGTTATAGTGAAGAAACTACCAGTCGCTATGCGTTTACCCCAGTATGTAAAGTGCTTTCTTGCTCTGATTGTTGCACTTGGTCGGACCTTTTTACGTAAAGAAAATCGTTGGAAAAAGATTCTCCTCGAAATATCAAACGCATCTAAAGGAGATAGAGAAAGGACAATTTAGAAAAAAAATTCTATTTCTCGTGGCTATGAGATGGGCGGAAGGGGCGTGATTATTTTAAAACATGTAAGTGTATTCTTTATTTATTCAAACGTCTACAAAAGAATTAGTTCCTTTTTTTAATGGGACGTTTGCAGAAATTCAACAATTTATAATAACTGCAGTTTGATCGGTTTCGTAAAAATCAAATCTTCTTGAAATCTTATTTAAACGCCGAAGGGTTGATGAAGAGTATGAATAATATTCGCTTGCAGAATGGATGTAAGTTCACTAGTACCAGCGGGTTTTCAATCGAATCATATAGATCTGTGCGAGGTCCAAGCTGGTTACAATAAGTTTTCGGAAAACTTGCGAAAACTCACCCCGCAAGCAATACAGTGCGCGATCTTTTGTGGCGGCTCTAGATGCAAATATGAAAACCCAAAAGCCTGGCCGCCGGTGCACATGGCAATACAGAACATCTTTTCGCATTGGTAATGTAGCAATAAATATTTATCGCAATCGTCAAATTCTACTTTCCACTGTTGTTGATTCCCCTTGCGACAAATCGAATACAATGCGTTTATTTTTATTGGCCCTAATACGCTTTCGGAAGATCCTGTCTTTATATCTGCGTGAAATTGAATCAAGTACCATCGGAACAGGCTACACTGTATTCTGGGTCGAGAAAATTTAATTCAATTTTATATGATTGCGGACTCGATGCATATGTTTTAATATAAGTATTAGATATTGTTACGAAAT